AGTCACCTTCGTGCACGAAAGTTCGTTCAATCTCAGCTGTTCGTCAGTTATTAGTTAGTCAGTTATGTCAGTTATTTGCTGTTGTATCGCCGATTTTCAAAATGCAAATGATCTGTTTACTTTATTTTCAAAGAATAGCTTGTTTTGTTATTGTTTGGTTGGTGTCTGATATGAAACTGCGACATTGCACAATTTATTGGACAGACTTGTTTAAGATCACATAGCGTAATTTGGGTGGCATTTTATTTCGTATTTTTAAATCATCTTTTTATTTTGGACAATATCTGGAAATTTAGTTTCCTGCTCTTAATTGGGAATACATACTTGATGGTTTTAAATGCTCCTGAAATTAAGTGCTGCTTGACCAGCCTATATTGTGTATGTATGTGACGTCACTGAAGGCCTAAGGTTGAAATGCACGGCCCGCCACTGTATAAATGTCACTCAAGGCATTAAGAAACTCAGACGTTTCATTTTAAAAAAAGAGATTACTTCTTCATACATGACAAATACACCCAACCGGTTTTATCCGACTGTCAGATGAGTTGATTGAAACATAATGTACATGTGATCATGCTGTTCTTCCAACATGTCGTTTTTAATCAGTACATTCTATTTTAACGACAGTTGCCAACCATTAGTTTATTTTACGAAACCCCCCAAAAAAGCAGTTGGGAAAAAAATGCGGACCATAGTGGGGTTCGAACTTTCCGTGAAAAAGTAACGTATCCCACAAGCCCAAGCAGCAGACCTTCGTGGCAGGTTGCTTCGCCTCTTCATTGGAGATGGTGGTATGTTGTTAGGTGTAAATACGCAACTGCTCGATTAGTAGAAACCATGGGCGTCATTAGGCCTATTTTAGCGAGGCTTCAGCCTCCCTAAAAATGTCTTTAGCCCCCCTAAATAATTTCATTGCATTATTTTAAAAAAAGTATTATTTATTTTTCCTGTACTTTTGCTAATATATTGCATCAAATTCAATGTAATGTGGCCATTTTAAATTATATTTCGATAACCTGCCATTATTGTAATATTAAATCTCCCAGGTTTCCTGAACGCAACAGGTGTTGCGTTAGCATTGACGTGTCTGTCACCATCGCCACATCAAATGCTAACGCAACAACTGACAGTTCATTGCCGAAAGTCAGGTTGAGTCGACAGCATGGATATTCGACAGTTTTTTAGAAAGGTAAATTAAGTATTCAATGCATCCATGCAGGTAAAACTAGTGACTATAGTCCGCTAAAATATCTCCAGTAACAGCAGAAACTGCACTGTAACAAGTGTTCACTTTTGGATAAATTAAGGTGGTGCTTAATAAAAATCTAGCAACATTTTATTATTAAATACATGAATAATCATTCAACACCTATTGAGATTTTGGCCTATATAAAATAAATAAATATAAAATAAATTTATTTATTTGACAGGAATCAGGCTAAAGACGCACAGAGAGTGAGCCGGGTGGGGGGGGTAGGTCTGGGGGTAACTACAGCCCCCCGGCTATCGAACCCGACCAGTCTGGTCCGAATCCGATGTTGTATTTGGGAATAAAACGCCTCCGAAAAGGGAAAATATGCCCTTTTCCAGAAAAGTTGGACTGAACGCCTAACGTGGACATTTTCGACCGTTTTAAAAAAATTATTAAAAAATAAACCTTCGTTATCCCGTGAGGGCCGTAGGTCTGGGGGTAACTTCAGCTCCCCCGGCTATCTAACCCGACCAGTGAGAAGGGTCCAGCTGCAGGCCCGGAGGAGGCCGATTCAGGGAAGGTAGGTTTAGGCAAGTAACTTTACGACGGATATGACGTCAGAAGGATGATGCCCGATTCCAAAGTAAGTCGCATGTGGATCTTAAAAAGTTTAAAAGGCCCTGTAATTGGAAGATAATTTAACAGCAAAATCAACTAAAAGTAAAACGGAGTTGTGTTATTTTAATGCACGACAACAACTACGACGGTAATATTGAGTCGACGAGCGTCAATTAAAACTTTATGCTAACTTTAATCCCGGTTACACTCACATTCTCTCGACCATAGAATATATAGCGCAAGTGAGGATGAAATGTTTTAGCACGCCTAGTTGTTCATTAATTAGATGATAATGTCAAAACGACGTTGACATTAATAATTAAATTTCGGATGAATATATGTATGTTTGTGAATGGGTAAATACTGGTCATTTTTTAAAGGGCTTTGGGCTACGTCAAAGAAGTGCGAAATGCGCAAAATATGTGCATTCAATTAAAAATTGACTGCTCATTGTGTCATGTTGATCAGTTTAAAATATTAGATTTAAATGCATCTGTGCTAATGCAGAATTTTACGTCACATTATTTTCCCTGTACTGTACCTCTATATTAATGTCCTCGTTTCTTTGTGACTTTAAAAAGCACTGGGAGTTTGTAGTTTGTCTTTTATTTTGTTTTAACTTGTGTCTCTTAACCTCTTACTTCATTTTAGATTATGCGGCCATTACGAAGAGAATTGCTCCTCTTGGACTCACTGTATCAGAGTCATCCCGATGGGTTTGCTGATGTGGACTACAGAGCCCTGTTTAGGTTGATAGATAAGACACACTGCATGCAGAGTTTGCTTTATGTTCTGGCTACGTTCATATAGCCTTTACAGATACATAGCCTGATTCTGGTAAGATTTGGCACGTTCCTATAGCCTGTACTGGAAGTTCCTACTGTTTTTAATAGTGTGTACTTAATGCAAGTTATTCCTATGTCAAAATATGCTTGTTTTTCCCAAAAGAAATCTTTCACAGCAAATTGACCCAGGGCCATGGACAGAAATTACCGGACATGATATGGGGAACCTGCCACGCCAGCTCAGGAGTAACGACTGTGGGATTTTTGTCCTCATGGTTAGACACATGTTTTTGAGTTATTTTATGCTGGTGTCTGAAAACATTGTGAAGACACTGCTTACTACTTACTCTGTTCCAGTATACGCTGTCCCTTCTCCTCAATACTGGGTTTGAGTTCCAAGAGGCAAGATAAAATAACATTTAACAACATTTACTGCAACAAAAAATATAGGCAATGTTGCCTCAAACTATTAATTTCAAGATGATGTATACTGAACGATTAAGACTCGTCGTGAACAATTTTTTCAGATGGACATGCCACTCATCAGAAAATGGTGGTGTCTGTTTCTGATGGAACGTTTTGAAATCGAGGGGTATGACAGCCTTTCATATGTGTGCTAATTTTGATCATACATCTTTAAAAGTGTACTGGCAGAATATATAAAACATTACAGGAGTGTCATAACAGAACTCACAAAAGTATGGCATCATTCCAATACAATGCTGAAGAATAATTGTCTTGTTTTCAAGTCATGGACAGCGGTTCGCATTTTGGACGGATGAGGCGAGAGCATTGCTTCAAGGACTCAAAGCCCCTGTATACAGGGTACCAAGAGGGAGTGGCATCACTTTAAAATGCCCGGACCATGTCCTTGTTGCAGCTGACCGCTCTGCAAAGGAGAAGCAACTTGTGGACCTGATTGTGCAGTCCGGAGAGGCTGAGCAGCATATCGTGGTATTTTGCAAATTTTCTTTTTTTTTAACCTTAACTGAAGGTTTACATTGTATATTGAGGAATGTTATTCACTACCAACAGAAAAATATGCGACTTGTTTATCAAGCTTTATCATTTCTAAATGGTTTAAAAGAAACTGGCATTTGATGCCTATTTGAATTCACAAAATGACCACACAGGCCACTTATGCAATTTCCACGAAATTGTCAATAGGATGTACTCAAAGGCAAACCAAGGTATTTTAAACATGAGTGCCAGAGGGTGCCTGTCTACTTGGACACAGAGGAACACCGGGATGTCCTTTATAGACATCTGAGGGGCATCGCAGATCGAGAAGGAACTCCCAACAACATTGTGGATGAGGTGGACTTTTTGATGGATGTTCTATTCCCAGAGGTAATGTTATCCCCAGCTGCTCCACACTTTCAAAATAGATACAAAAATATAGATTTATTTGTATTTGTAGATTGAAATATTTTAGAAAATATTCACACAATGTACAAATCCTTTTCTCTTAATAGGCTATTATTTATGGTCTCGCCGTGACCCACAAGGTCTCAGTGGCACATGCCGAAAACTTATTTATTGTTGGACAAACGTTACACACAAGGTAAGAGTAAACCATCTAATTCTCTTTCAACTAAAATGCAATTAAATCCTTACTCCCTTTCTCATGTCCCAAATAATACATTTCAAAACATTTCAGTTTCTGTTGCATTTCATGTTTTACAACCTTATTTCAGTGAAAGAGACCAATTTGAGCAGAGGATCGAAAAGGAGTTGCGACAACAAGGGAAGTGAATGAGTGAGCAATAAAGTGCTTTTTCAAAAATATTTTTTGTGTTTTATTTGCCTCTGGTTTTATTTTATATTTATTATAATGCATAAAAAGCCAGGTGTTGTGTAATTTTTGTATTATATTAAAACCTTATGAATTATTGACTCTACTCGTCAAAATACAAATAAGTCAAAGTAATTATTGTGAGTGAGCAATAAAGTGCTTTTTCAAAAATATTTTTGGTGTTTTATTTGCCTACAGTGCTTTAGAAATTGACATGGATCATTTAGGGAATATAGGTATACATTTTGGTGGGGATACAGAATCTGGTTTTATTTTATATTTATTATAATGCATAAAAAGCCAGGTGTTGTGTAATTTTTGGATGATATTAAAACCTTATGAATTATTGACTCTACTCGTCAAAATACAAATAAGTCAAAGTAATTATTGTATTATATTAAATGGACATGGATCATTTAGGGAATATAGGTTGTATAGTATACAACCTATATTCGTTATACAATGTATACGTTTTGGCGGGGATACAGAAGCCAGGTGTTTTGTAATTCTATTCAATTAAAATTCTATTCAAAGTAATTCTATCTCAAACCTACCATCCCCAAACAAAGTAATTCTATCTCAAACCTACCATCTCAAACTTACCACAGCCACTTAGGGACTTTATTTTGAAAACCCATTTGCCTAAACTTACCACATCCGTCGTATGTCTACCATAGCCTAAATCTACCTCTTCCGAGTCTGCAGCTGGATATTATTGGCCCCCTCCTTCCCTAGTGTTTACTTTCTCAACTAAGATCTCGGGGCGCTGTACGTACGGCGAGTACCGACAGGTATCGCACTGTATCCCATGTTCGTCATTGTTTTTCATGTTTCTTGTGCAGAGCGTGCCTGTTAAGTCCAATTACCCCATGGGGATAAATAAAGTTTCCTGAATCTGAATCTGAATCCTGACATTGTGAGTCCTGTGATTTGTCCTGACATTTTGCCTTGGTTGTGGTCTGACATTGACATAATTACAAAGGAGGATTGGTTGGTTATGTGAATACGCAATTTGGGAATGAACAGGTCGATTTACACTGATGGGATGTCTGTTAGGTGATCCGACAAGCTGTCAAATGGGGCTTTGTATTTATGTCTCAGTTCCAGTTTAAACAGGGTCAATAGCTTCCGGGCGGCATTTGTCTTCACAGCTGAAGTGATTAAGATTCTTTGAGTAGTGTGGTGTGTAAAAGAAGTCTGGGTTAAAAATTCTTGAATTTGCACTCATTCACTAACGTCGCTGGTGGTGCTGGAAAGGGGTGAAAGTGGTACAGTAGTGCTTGAGGCTTGAGCCCGTATCATAATTGAAATTCAAATGTTGATTTGCACTGCTGCGACGTCGGAAACAAATGAATTTATGTGTTACAACGCCTACTATTAAGAGGAAAAAAACATCCTGCAAATTATTTATTTGTCACTCCAAGGTGTTACACCATGCAAAACTGGCATGTAACACAATTGGTTTGACAAAAAAAAAAAAAAAAATCCACTCGCTAATTGCTATCATACAGTGAGTGGCAAACATAGTAATCAAAATTAGCACCTAATATCAAAGCCACTTCTTAATGATTAGTCCAGGCATGTTCTGCCCTCAGAATAGTTGTATGTGAATATTTGGGCAAGATGTACATATATTGAGAGGTCAAGCAATGCATTTTTAAAAATATATACAAAAAAATGACTTCTGGGAATAATCTTTTAATCATGTTTGTTTGCAGAAACACATAACAGTTATAGTAAAGCAATCAAATGGATGTTCCATTTGACTGGAAGAAGAATAATTTACAATGTGTACACAGCGGCAAAGGTTTTCTTCAAAATTATTTTACAGTACAGAATATGGATTTTACGCAGATATTGCCTTATTGTTCATCATCATCCAATCCTCTACTAAGTACAGTATATTCATGAAATAATCTGGTTCTTTTTGCCTATTAGTTTAAAAAATATATATATCGGGATATCAGTATTTACAGTATTGTGCATGTTCATCTCTTCATGAAATTGTCCAATGAAGCTGGTGTCCTTTGAATGGAGTGGATATTCCTCTTCACTCTGTCCTCCAAAGATGACGTGGCAGCGCTCTCCAACTTCATGTCACTGGAAAAAGGAAAGCAGGCGTTCTTGGACAAAAACTGCACTAGACTTGATATTCCTCTTTGAAAGCAAAAAACTTAAAAAAAAACAAAAAACTGTAATGCTGTCTTTATATTTTAAAATGCCTAAGAGGTTGTCCTGTGACATCAAACATAGGCAGACATGTTCGGTGAAAAAAGAAAGCGAGAGAGAGAGAGAGAGAGAGAGAGAGAGAGAGACATACATACTGGATAAAACCAGCATGGCGTTCATGCTTGGAATTTTGTTCCCGCTGTTTTTCCTGCTCATCTTGCTTCATATATCTTCTCATGTTATTCTCCCTGTCCTCATCTCTCTTCTTGGCCTGGTCCATCATCTCCTTTCTCCTCTGCTCCAGCTCCTCTGCAGAGAGCTTCCTGCAAGAAAAACATGACAACAACACTAACGCTGATTAAATGCTGTTAGAAATTAGTACGATGACCTTTTTTTTTTTTTT